ACATTCCACAGTTATAACAACTGGGTCCCTTGTTTGGACAGTTGGTTGACCAATGTCCAGCAGCACCACATGAGTAACAATGGTTACCTGGAGCTGATTTAAGGCCTCTGCCTCTTCCTCCTCGGCCTCTGTTTCCACCCCATTGTTGCTGTGGATACGATGGAGTGAAGGGGGACGGCTCGACTGGGGTCTGCTGCAAAGGCATGTGCTGTTGGGGCATCTGTGTAACATCTTTGTTAGTTGTTTTCTTTCCTAGTTTCTTTTCATCAACCTGCAATCTCAGAAGTTCCTTTTGCAATTTAAGTAATTCACCTCCCTCCTTATCCGCTTTCTCGACTGCTCTATCAATAAAATGCACCGCATACCTTTTCCACTTTGTGTCATCGCTTCCAGGTACCTCGGGTGACTGTTCCATTGATTGGACCACTCCAGCTGGCGCCCCCTGGAGCACAGCTGCCCTGAAAATTCTATTAGTGATAAGATTAGCCATTGGGTTCTCGTCACATGCTTCCTCCCATTCCTGGCAGCACCTGTTAATGTATGCTGCACCATTCTCCCCTGGCCTGTGTTTGAATTTTAAGTTTTCGAAAACTGTGTCTGGAGTTGGAAATTTGTCTCTGATGGCTTGGCACAGTGGGGATTGCCCTCCATTTCTCACCAGAGGCTCTCTGTTCCTGACTGTTCTGGTGTTCGCCATGTCCTCAATGTCATTTATCTGGTGTGCTGACAAAACTCTGCTCATAATTTGTCTCAAATCCCCCACCGCTAATACCTGCCCATGGGATAAAGCAAACAATTTATTTAGCCATTTGCCCCCTCCCTCAGTGATTGCCGGGAGTTTCTTTGTCAAGGTTTCCAAGTCTGTGAGAGACCAAGTTTGATAAGTATCTCCCAGTCCACCTAGTCCTGCCAGCAAGGGTAGCATAGTGTGTGCCCCCATGTCAGACACATCAGTCCTTCTTTCCTGCCTCTGTTGTTTAACCTCTTAAGCCCTGAGGCCTATTTTCCGAAAATCCTATACTTTTACTTTTTAAGGCATTTCTCAGCTTTTACAAGGCCTAAACTGCAAGTCTTGGTATCAAAATGAAGATAGGTTCTTGGGGAGTGGTGTGGATGAGTTAATTTGACAGTCAAGAACACTGGGTAAGAGTAATTGATGTTGGAATGGCTAAAAAATGAACTCCGCCTAAAAAAAAAACACATGTTTCCTCCAATATCTCCTTATTTTACTTATAACGAAGCAAATAAACACAATCAATTGTAACCACTACATGTCAAGAACATCTGTAGCAAGTTTGGTGTTCATACTACAAGAAACTAATATTCTGTAAAGGTTTTGATTGAACAAAGTTCAGGCGTAATCCATGTTGGCACAGTTTGGCACAATAATTGAAATATGGAAAAAATCTTGTCCAAAGCTTCAGCTACGTTCATAGTCTTGTTTTCTTACTTATGGGACATGATTTCAGCAAAAAAAACTCCTAAAGAAACGCTGTAAAAGGGGGGTAGAAGCTCATTTACGCCATCTTGCTGCGCTTTTGGGAACGTTTCACTCACAAACGCTTTGACGTCGAGCTTCTGCGTGTCCCTACCCCCCCGACCATCTGTCCAATCCGGGAGATCTATACATCGCTGGCAAGCTCTGATTCTATGGAAACCAATCAGCTCAACCATTTTGAGACTGACGGGATCGCCAACGAATCACACGACGCGCAGTGTGGAGAGACCACCTCTTACGCACGGGGAGTCATTCCATATTTGGTGACGTAATGACGCCACAAAGCTACAGAAATAATCCAAAAGGGAGTTTCCGCGAAGCTATCGACCGGACATAACAACAAACGGACTTTTATCGCTATGGAAATAACTTTTTGTTGAAAAAAACGGCAAAGGTAAGACAAGATTTACATGCTTGCTTGGTTTTTGCTGGCGTTTTTTCGGGGAACTTTCGCCCCCTGCTCTGAAATACTTCATGCAATGTTAATGAGTTGCATATCGCTGGATTCAGCTGGTTGTTAGCTTTCATTTAATGTAATGGTTTTGGCGTTTCCGTTTATATTGTGGATACATATCGCACATAAACAAAAACGTGGTCATGAATTATACTCCGGACATGTTGTTGTTTATTTGCATGGCGTTCGAGCTGTGGTTAACGGATATGAAATTGAATTAGATACGTTTTTAGAGGAGTTTCCGCTGAACACAACAGTATTTAATATGTGTGGGTTATTCTCAGGGTTTGTGAGCTATGAGTGAAAATGTAACGCACAAGGGGGCAAGTCCCCGGTACCGGGGACTCTCGGGCTTAAGAGGTTAATCCTTTCACTCCTCCGTGGTTGCCCCATCAATCTCATACTACCTTTTATTTTGACCGGTATATTCTTATCACTGTTTTCACTAACATTTTCCTCATCATCACTGTTCACCCTTCTGTCTACTCCTATTTCAGGCAAATTTAGCCGTGATAAATCATCCCAGTCAACAAGTTGCTCTACTTGTGCTTCACTTCCCTTGTCTGAGAACTTTTCTACCTCATTCACATGCTCACTCACCCTATGCCTTACAACCAGCACATTCTGTTCCTCCTCTTCTACCTCTATCTCTCCTTGTAAATGTGTCATCGTTCCATTTGTTATCTTTAATATTGGCATCTGTTTATCTTTGGCCTCAGTCAGTGGTAGTTGTAGTTGTTTCTTTGATTTCTGGTTCTGATCGTAAGGGGGTGGAAGTTCTGGGTAAATCAACTGCACACAAGGAGCTGTAGGGGCGGAGGGGGCATCGTTTCCTACTTCCTGTTTACTGTTCATTTTTATGTTGTGTGTAACTGGCCCTTCTTTACTTAATTTCAGAACGGCAGCTGCATGCAACACCCTTGACCATTTCCTGCAATCCATCTCTAATTTCTTTCTCTGTTTTACATGTGCTCCTCTTTGTAATACTCCTATTTTTAGTTTTTCATGTCTTTGAACTGCTTCTCGTGCTCTCTTTTCTTTTATTCCCACTTTCTGAAACAGAATTCCCTTCTTTTCCATAAAGTCATTTCCAAAAAATTCAATCATTTCATTTTGACAGATTTCCAATTCTCGCATGCGCGTTTTAATTTCCTTTGGCTCCAGCTGAGCCTTCACAATCTCCAACATTTTCTGCCATTGCTGCCCAAGGGTCTCTTCACAATCCTTATCAAAATCACAATCCATTTCTCATCAACTTCTTCTTTTTACAGTAGGTTTCTTATTCTGTAGATTCACAACAAGTCCTATACTTTCCCTATTTAATGTAAGGCTTTCCCTATTCTTCCTACTGTTTGATTTAGAGCCAAATTCCCCTTTTTTATAGCGGGTATTCCCGCTACCTCTCGGACTAGTTTTTATTAACCTGTCAGATACACATCTCATCCGTCGATAAGAGGTTGCTGTAGGTGTCCGATTTTTATCACCAGTCCAATTCAGTTTATTATAGTGAGTTGTCCTCACTGAAACACCCATTAAACACCAAAGAGCTCAAAATTCTCAAAATCTCTTGTCAAGTAAATATCCAATTCACCTTTATTTATAGTGGTTCTCACACTACCCTGCAAATCAAGGGCTTTGCACAGTTCTTAATCCTTCATCAATTACGTCAATAATTGAGAGTCTCAAGAAAGGATTTGTCTAATTTTCTCATGTCACACCTTGTATCCTCTTTTCTCTTCACCTATTCACCTTTTAATAATTCCTCTTAAAACAAAAAAATGTCAAAAAGCTATCAACCCCATCTTTCGGTTTCTCCTCAAAAATATAATTTTAAAATCGATGTTTGGACGATAAAAATATAATTTTTCCCAGAGATGGCCTTAATTCAACACTTGATTTAGTGTAATCAATTGCAGAATTTTATTAAAAAGGTTTCTGCTTACCTCTTTTAAGGGCGGCCGGCCTTTGTGTTGAATTCAGGAATCTCATCCCATCCAAAAGTCTCCTTTAATCATCAAATCGTCGGGGTCACCATTTTGTTGGACTTTTGAGGGTCCAATGCGTGTTCAAAATGATTTTAGGAGACAGATGCCGGAAGACCAGAGTTTATTAACAGGTTTAACAAGAGAGGAACCGAAAGCACCAAAAAACAACGCGTTGGAGAATCTCCTGGGATCTTCTGACTTAAGGATCCAGAGCGACTGTTTTATACATTTTCTGAAAACAGGGAATTTCCAAAGAACAAGAGAATTTCTGTCTCAAACCCATGATACCAAAATCATATGACACCATGTGGCAGGATATCCCATGACTACAGCAAATGACACAAAAATCACATGGCGTCCCACGAGGCTTGCTCAGGCAATCTCTTTCACAAAAGCATATTACTGAATAATACCACAACAAAAGCATATTTTAATTATTGAATAGTACCACACTAGCCTCTTCCTCTGGATGATGTCCTGTACTTCCTCATTCCACCACCATGTTTCTTTATCTTCTTTCCTCCTTCCAGCTGACACACCTAGCACCTTTCTTCCCGTCTCCCTGATCAATTGTGCTGTAGTTTCCCAGTCATCTGGAAGCTCTTCCTGACCACCCAAAGCCTGTCACAACTTCTGTCTGAATTCCTCACAATCTTCTTCCTTTTTCAACTTCCACCACTTGGTCTTCTTTTCCATCTTTCCTCTTCTCTTCTTCCTGACCACCAGAACCAGCCTACACATCACCATCCGATGCTGTCTGGCTACACTCTCTCCTACCACTACTTTACAGTCTCTGATCTCTCTCAGATTGGCTCGTCTACAAAGGATGTAGTCTAACTGCATACTCCTCCCTCCACTCTTGTAGGTAACTCTATGTTCCTCCCTCTTCTGGAAATAAGAATTAACTACAGCCATTTTCATCCTCTTGGCAAAGTCCACCACCATCTGTCTCAATGTCCTAAAACACGTTAGAAAAAAAAATTAGGATGATTTTCAGAAAAAGTTCCTTCTTGTTTCAAAACAAAATACCACAGTAGATTTTATAGAAAGAGCTCCTTCATGTTGTTTCCGCCCAGTTTCGAACTGGGTAGCTTTTACAAGTAAGGCATACGTAATAAGCACTACACTACGGAAACCTAAACAGTTGTAATTTTCACATTTTTTTTCAATCATTTTGGATAAAATAACACAAAAGTTAAATTCCTTAATATCCAAAAACAAAATACCACATTAGATTTTTTAGAAAGAGCTCCTTCATGTTTAGATTTTTTAGTTATAAGTAAAATAAGGAGATATTAGAGGAAACGTGTTTTTTTTTAGGCAGAGTTCATTTTTTGGCCATTCCAACATCAATTATTCTTACCCAGTGTTCTTGACTGTCAAATTAACTCATCCACACCACTCTCCACAAACCTATCTTCATTTTGATAGCAAGATTTGCAGTTTAGACCTTGTAAAAGCTGAGAAATGCCTTAAAAAGTAAAAGTATAGGATTTTCTGAAAATAGGCCTCAGGGCTTAAGAGGTTAATAACCACTACACTACGGAAACCTACACAGTTGTAATTTTCACATTTTTTTTCAATCATTTTGGATAAAATAACACAAAAGTTAAATTCCTTAATGTCCAAAAACAAAATACCTCAATAGATTTTTTAGAAAGAGCTCTTTCATGTTGTTTACGCCCAGTTTCGAACTGGGGACCTTTTGCATGTTAAGCAAACGTGATGACCACTACACTACAGAAACTTACATAGTTGTGATTTTCACATTTTTTTATCATTTTGGATAAAATAACACAAAAGTAAAATTCCTTAATGTCCAAAAACAAAATACCACAGTAGATTTTCAGAAAGAGCTCCTTCATGTTGTTTCTGCCCAGTTTCGAACTAGGGAGCTTTTACAAATAAGGCACACGTAATAACCACTACACTTCGCAAACTACACAGTTGTAATTTTCACATTTTTCTCAATCATTTTGGATAAAATAACACAAAAAATAAATTTCTTAATGTCTGAAAACAAAGTACCTCAATACATTTTAAGAAAGAGCTCTTCTTGTTGTTTCCGCCCAGTTTCTAACTAGGGAGCTTTTACAAATAAGGCACACATAATAACCACTACACTATGGAAACTTACACATTTGTAATTTTCACTTTTTTTCAATCATTTTGGATAAAATAACACAAAAGTTAAATTCCTTAATGTCCAAAAACAAAATACCACAGTAGAATTTCAGAAAGAGCTCCTTCATGTTGTTTCCGCTCAGTTTCAAACTGGGGACCTTTTGCGTGTTAGGCAAACGAAATAACCACTACACTACGAAAACGTACATAGTTGTAATTTTCACATTATTTTCAATCATTTTGGATAAAATAACACAAAAAGATAAAATCCTCAATGTCCTAAAACACATAAGAAAAATTAGGATGATTATCAGAAAAAGTTCCTTCTTGTTGTTTCCGCCCAGTTTCGAACTGGGTAGCTTTTACAAGTAAGGCACACGTAATAAGCACTACACTACGGAAACCTAAACAGTTTTAATTTTCACATTTTTTTCAATCATTTTGGATAAAATAACACAAAAGTTAAATTCCTTAATGTCCAAAAACAAAGTACCACAGTAGATTTTTTAGAAAGAACTCTTTCATTGTATTTCCGCCCAGTTTCGAACTGGGGACCTTTTGCGTGTGAGGCAAACGTGATGACGACTACACTAGGGAAACTTACATATTTGTAATTTTCGCATTTTTTCAATCATTTTGGATAAAATAACACAAAAGTTAAATTCCTTAATGTCCAAAAACAAAATACCACGGTAGATTTTTTAGAAGGAGCTCCTTCATGTTGTTTCCGCCTAGTTTCGAACTGGGGAGCTTTTACAAGTAAGGCACACGTAATAACCACTACACTACGGAAACTTACACGTTTGTAATTTTCGCATTTTTTCAATCATTTTGGATAAAATAACACAACAGTTAAATTCCTTAACCTCTTAAGCCCGAGAGTCCC